CTAATTAAAAATCACTGTGCACAGAGCCAAATATTTGAGTCAGCAGAGAACTTACCTAATTGTTAACACTGCATTCCCTTGGAGCCATCTGTCATACCTGGCTAGCTTTCTACTCTCATCCCAACCAAACTTCAGATGAAGACTAACCTTTCCCCAGATAAATTACATTTCATCAAATCTGCTGATACTTCTTACTGAAATATCCAATGCATAAGTGATTTTAACATCCCTCTAGGGGCTAAAGGTCTAACTATACATTGCATGAGAGAGGGCTCTTCGTGAGGGTTTCGCTCACTCTGCTCAACCAGGACCAAGAAGGAGACCCTACAGAGTTCCTACTCCTTGATCCAAAACTGAATGGAAGAAACAGAACTCAAGAGAATATTAAATAAGCTAGACAGCTGGGGGTGCTAGGGAAGGTAGTATGAAGAGAGGCCAAGTATCGGAATAAATGAGGCAGTTAGGAAGTTCCGGGGCATTAAAGGACTGATCTTCAGACTTCCGGGTGTTACAAAGGTCTGGTGATCCACAACAACAGGCCAAGGGCTTCAGAGGCAGCTCCCTGAAGCCTCTGACAGGCACACTCAGTCCTGTGAGCTTGGATTCAACCCTGCCAGCGCCAGCAAACAAACACACACATTCTTCCCAGAGCTGACACCCCATACAACACGGCCTCTCTACAGGGCCTGTTTATTTAAGAAACCAGATGCTTTGATGTTGGAGTAGAAGTTGGGAAGTTATGTTTAAAGAAGTGGTTAGTGACAGGAGCAGAGGGAGGACAGAAAATAAGCAACAGTTCCTGGCTTTATTCATCATAAGTTTTAAAAGTTTTAAGGAAATTGTCAAATGGTCTGTACACAGGAATGAGAAGGAATGAGAAGTAAGGAAATTACATCAGCCACCACCACAACTCTGGCCAAGGCATTTCATCTGTTCCTTTAAGACAGTTTCATGCCTACCCTCAAAGGGGTGCTTACAGCAGAAATGTTTTGAAGCAACCCAACGTAGCAACCAACATTAATAAAGTCTTCTAGGCCTGCTCAATTTCACGCATATACAAAGGTTATACATGTCATGGATACTCCAAGCAGTTGAAGGAAAGAATCAGTTAAAAATGTGGCATGAAAACAGTTTTGAGTTCCAGGCAAAACTAAGACTATTGAGACTAAGAAAAGAACATTTATAAATGATAGTTAATTGCTGAGTGCTAATTATGTGCCAGACATTGTTCTAATGAGTTATTACATATATATAGATTATACAACACAATGTGATATGTTGTAATACATACTATAACTCATTACAACGTAATACAATATTACATACTTATATATTATGTAATACAAATATATATTACACAATACAATAATATACATATACGTATATATTATGTTTATATAATTTAACACACACTCATTTAATTCTCACAACCACCCTACAAATTAAGTGCTCTTATCTTCACTTTACAGATTAGGAACTGAGACAGAAAACTTAAGTAACTTACCCAAGATCACACAGTGACATGGCCAGGGTTCAAATGCAGACAGTCCAGACAAGGCAGTGCTATACTGCCTTACCATGGTATGTCAAACCCTTAGAACAAAATTAGGGAGCATAATTTTTGGAATGGTATAACTATTTGTCTTTCTCCTTTGCTTTCTTGTCATCCCTTTTGTTTGTTTTTTTAGTAACAGCCAATATTTTTTATTCCACTTTCCCATGAGTCTATCATAGCTAACTTGTATTATTATAACTAGAAAGGAAAATGTTTTCTCCTGCCTCAACTCCTAAAATAGAGCACTTAATCATTAGAACTTCTATGTGAAAAAATATATACTGTGTGTAATAAACCCAATACACTTTAAATATATTTTAAATTAATATACTGAAATGATATGAGAAAAAAATCTTAGAGAGAAAAAGGGAGGCTTGGGCAAAGAGAAAAACCTGTTGGATTTCACATACAAAGAAGCCTGAGTGGTCATCAGGACACCGGTCTCCTAAAAACGTAATGTAAACGCACTACCGTGCTTTAGCTTTACCGTGCTTTCTTGAGAAGACAGGTTAAATGCTAATATATTCTCATAAGCCACAGAAACAGGTCTAGTAGTTTGCTATAACCTTCTGAGGCTTTTCATTCTCCAGTCTGAACGATCTTTTCTTTGTGCCTTGGCACCCCCAGCACCTAGCACAGATCTAGGCATTTGGAGGGCATTCACATACACTGATGATATGAATTACTGTGGCTTCAAACAAAACAGGACCAAGTTAAAAGAAATAAGAGAACCATGAACTTTTGCTTTTTCTTGGGACTCAAATCCTGTCATATTATGTAGGAAAAATGATTCTACATGTACTTTCCTTCCCCAGTTGTACAAAGTATACAACATCTCTGATAAAAAGTTGTTCTGTCATGCTGATGCTTTTATTTCACATTGTTTTATAAAGGGTCCAAAAATGCTAGATCTCTTCAATACAGTTCAGGATTTTTTGTGACTTCTAAAACCAAATAAATAAATAGAAGAACAGGCTACTATGTAACAATTCTTGGTTAAGGAAGTGCTACTTAACCATTTTTAAGGTAAAGGATATTAAACAAAGGCTCCACTTTTTTTTTTTTTTTAACCAGATACAAAAAGGATGAGATCTCTGAAGAAAAGACCACGGATGATTAACAAATGCAAAACTTTTTTTGTTTGTTTGTTTGTTTGAGACAGAGTCTCACTCTGTCACCCAGGCTGGAGTGCAATGGCGCGATCTCGGCTCACTGCAACCTCTGCCTCTTGGGTTCAAGTGATCCTCATGCCTCAGCCTCCAGAGTAGCTGGAATTACAGGCGCATGCCACTGCATCTGGCTAACTTTTGTATTTTTAGTAGAGACAGGGTTTCACCATGCTGGCCAGGCTAGTCTTGAACTCCTGACCTCAAGTGATCCACCTGCCTTGGCCTCCCACAATGATGGGATTACAGGTGTGAGCTACCATGCCTAGCCAAAATAGCTATTTTAAATAAGGTCACTGAAAAAAAGACTGGAAGAGAATAACTAACTAACTAACTAAATAAATAAATAATTGCAAACAGCCAAATGAAAGAAATACAAGGAAATTCCTTTTTTGTTTTTTGAGACAGAGTCTTGCTCTGTTGCCCAGGCTGGAGTGCAGTGGTGCGATCTCGGCTCACTGAAAGCTATGCCTCCTGGCTCAGTTTCCCGAGTAGCAGGGACTACAGGCGCCCACCACCACACCCGTCTAATGTTTTGTATTTTTAGTAGAGATGGGGTTTCACCGTGTTAGCCAGGATGGTCTCTATCTCCTGACCTCGTGATCCGCCCGCCTCGGCCTCCCAAAGTGCTGGGATTACAGGCGTGAGCCACCGCGCCCAGCTAAAAGGAAATTTCTTTACATATGGACTTCAAAGAATGAGTGGTTTTAGGTCTACTCTTCCATAGATTTGACCTTAGAACCCCTCCGCCAGTTTTCTCAACCTCTTGCTTTGGAATCAATATATTACAAATGGCATATCAATTCAAACTAACCAGTAAGACTCTGACTCAAGGAATAAATCCAGGCAAGGCATAGTGGCTCACGCCTCTAATCCCAGCACTGTGGCAGGCTAAGGTGGGCGGAGCACTTCAGCCCAGGAGTTCAAGACCAGCCTGGGGAACATGGCAAAGCCCTGTTTCAAAAAAAAAAAAAAAAAGGAAAGAAAAGAAAAGAACAATTAGCTGGGTGCATGCACCTGTAGTCCCGACTACGTGGGAGGCTGAGGTGAGAGGATCACTTGAGCCCAAGAGGTCAGGGCTGCAGTGAGCTGTGACCGCACCACTGCATTCCAGCCTGGGCAACAGAGTGAGACCCAACCTCAAAAAAAAAAAAAAAAAAAAAAAAAAGGAATTATACAAAAATTAGCTAGGCATAGTGGTGCACACCTGTAGTCCCAGCTACTCAGGAGGCTGAGGTAAGACCCTGTCTCCAAAAAAAAAAAAAGAAAGAAAAGAAAAAAAGGAGTAAATCTAAATCCAGGAGCAGCAGCAGACCTAAAAGTTAGGTCAACCAGCGAGAGAAGAATTTGAAATATGGAGTAAGAATGCTGTGTCCAGCTAGTGGTCCAGTATAAATTAAGCATCACTGTTGTAAAGGCTTTCTCAATCCCCCACTGTGAGAAGGAAGTCTATTTGATTTTTTTTTTTTTTCCCTCATCAAGTAGGAAGACTTCCTAGATCTCATTCTACCCAACCTGTCCCACCCTCCAGCACTAGCTTGGCTACCTTTACACAGCTGCTGCTCGGGCTACGCAAAGCACAGTTATTCTTGAATACTTGTGTCTTGTGTCCCCAGATCAGAGAATTCTATCACAGGTGACAAGTATGGTCCAGATAATCGAGCAGTCCAAAGGAAGACTGAGGCTTGGCTGACGCTGAAATACGGTTACAAAAGGACAAGGGCAGGCACAGAACCTTGGCCATCCATCTCTGCCCCCAAGTGCAATTCATTTTCTTTGAAAGAGGAAAACAGGCAAGGGAGAAAATACATAGAATTGAAAATACATTATGCAAATGTGGCTAGCAAGGATTAAATTGTTAATTTTAGAGAAACAAGAGAAAGATGCCCAAGTTGTGCTGAAGCAAGGAACCAGGACTTTTTTAATAATTGGTTTTGTCAGTCCTGTAGTGTGCAAAGGTTGAGCTGCTTGTCCCCACGGACAGAAATCCCATAATTCTGAAAGTCTTCTGACCAAGAGCTGGCTCAAAGCAGAATGTGTGCAATGCGTTTCTTAACTATTGAAAATGTTGTCACCGCGGGATATAGACATGCTAGTCAGAGTTCCATACCATGACAGAAGGTCAAATCTGAAGCAGTCAGAAAGATCACATAAATAGTGCCATCTCATTTCCAATCTAGTCCCCTTAACTATTAAAACACGGTGACCAGACCGCTGCTTCGGGCCTCCTAAACTCCCGCCTCTCCCACCCGGAAAGTACTGACCCACGGAGGACACACCTTTGCTTCTGAGCAGCCCAACTTCTGCAAGCGCACAAGAGTTAATTACTCCTTCACCTTCCTGGGGCCTAACAGTGTTACTGGGTCCTGATTATTTATACAGACGAAAAACGACGTTCAAAAGATTCTGACAACTTTAAAAAAAAAAAAAAGAAAAAAAAAGAATGCGGTGGAAGTCTAAGATTGCCTCCCCTGTGACGAAACACAGCCCCGCTGGCCGCTCCAGCCCGACTCCGCCCGCCCGCCCGCCGCAGTTTCGGGGCTACGGCCCGGGGGGCGCGGGCGCGGCGGGGCCGGGGTCTCCTCCGGGAGTCGCGGGGAGCACGGGCCGGGAGGGGCACGCGGGCGGCACCTCGCAGCCGAGCGGCTCCCGGGCCCGGCGCCCGCTCACCTGGTGCGTGTTGTTGGCCAGCTTGGCGACGAAGTCCCGGACCCGGCCGCACTCCTCGTCCTCGCCTGGCGCGCTGCGACGCCAACGGCCGCCGCGGGGAAACGCGCCCCCGGCCGCGGCCGCCCGCAGCCCCCAGCTCACCCCGATGGGGCCAGACCAGCGCAGGAGCGGGGCAGCGGGCGGCGGCGGCGCGTCCAGCCGGTCCTGGCCAAGGGTCACCGGCGGCAGCAACTGCAGGAGGAGGAGGAGGCCGAGGCCGTGGGGCCAGCGCGAGAGGCCGTCCGCAGCTCCCCGGGGCCGCTCCATCGCCGCCGAATGCCGCCGACGCCGACACCTGCCGCCCGGCGCGCCCGCCCACCCCCGTCGGCGCGCGCCACACCCCCGAGCCGAGCGCGGCGCTCCTTGGATACGCGCGGCCGGGCCTCTCCGCCCCATAGGCTGGCCGCCTGTCCCTCTTCCCCGGTCCACTCCTCATTGGCTCGCGTCGCCTCCGGCTTCGGGGGTCCTGGATTCGGATGCCAAGATGCGGGACTGATTGGCTGGAACGTGGCAGAGACTGCTGAGGTCAACCCCGCCTCGCCCGGCGTCTCCCGGGCTCGGCTTGTGGAGTTCACGTAGGAGCTTCTCCCACCTTCCCGCCGAGCCGCGGGCTCCTGGCGCCGTGACCCCTTGCCGCACCTCTAGCGCCCTCAAGTTGGGGCTGGATTACGTACCTCCTGTTCCCCAGAGACACTCCTAAAATTCCTTAAGTGAGGCAGCGCCTGGAAAACCTACCCAGGAAATCTCTGAGCTCGCTCAGCTGGAAAAGGGGGCTCCATCATGAACAGGGGCTTCATGTTTTTATAAACCCGGCTCACTGGAGCGCCCATTGTCTGCTAAGCAGCTGCCTTGCTGCCAAGAAGGTGAATGCGAACTGGTGTGGGCCACATCCTACGGAGACAGACATCAGGACATCCGTGACTCAGGCAAGCCTGAATAGTCTTTCCATACGTTTGGCCTCTCTCGCCTTCCTCTTCTGCGGGGAGGTAGGCCAAAGGCGGAATTACTTACAGGTTTTCCAGGACTTCGAATGTAGCTTAGGCATTAGGGGCAGGTAAAAGGGGGCAAGAGAATGACCCAATGCCTACTGTTCACATGACCATTTCCTAGATGCACATTTATTTTACCAAAGTGCCTTAACTCTGCAGTGAGAGCTTCGGACAAGTTTGGTTCCAGTATGTGATGTCCTCTAGATTAGCACCCCGATCCACCTCTAATGAATAAAATAAAACCCCTACGCTGTTCCCTTTACCGCAGAAGCTGCACATACAACTTCTACAACACGTAGCACAGGTAAAACCAGTTCTGAATCCTTAAACTTACTGACTCCATCCCTTTAGAAAGCTAGAAATTGTTCAGTAGAAAAGATAGCAAATAGATACAAAATATGCAAATCGTTACAAATCAAGTAAAGATTACTTTTAACTATAAACTAGCCATAAACTCAAATGAGGGTATAGTCATTGTAGAGCAAAATGATACAATGCACCCAACCCGATATTTACATTAAAATACTTCCAGTCACATTAACTTTCAAACAAAAAGACTTACGAATTTACAAATTTTCCCAAAACAACCATACTAAGACGTGAGAAGAAAAATGTTTTTGAATGCCATCTGAGCAGGATAGTAAAATCATTAGAATAGTCTTTTAAGTTCTCAGTTACTGGACTGACAAGATAAAGCTGATGAAAACTGGTGAACAATTTGTTCCTTTCCATAACTACTATCAGATTAATTTTAAAAATAGATTATTTTAAAATCTATGCCAACTATGGGAGTAGATCACAAGACAGTCAGTTCCAGTAGCATGTGATTAGGTGGGGGGAGAAAACGGGGTTATAAAGGAATATTTCTTTGTTTGGGTGACAAAGATGAATGGTCTATTGTCTTACTGTCTGAAAAGAAACACAACTCAACAGTGCCACCTCCTGGAGAAATTGCCAAATACACTTTTAAACGCTATTAAATTTGTTGGCAATTATCTGTACCTTCACTTTTTAATATGTTGCTTTTAGTTATCACAAGCTTACAGTAGTTATATATTTCCTTCCTCAAACTGTATCAGCTTCCAGGACATGGTAACTTGCATATGGCACTGAGTAAATGTTTGAGTGAATACATTTACTATTTCACTTTTTAAAATTGGAAACCCTAGGAACTATACTTCATTTTTGTCTAATGAGATTTACATTAAATATAAAAGTCACAGTGTCAGTTCTCCTTTGTGAAATACTGGACATAAGATTTCACCTTATTTGCAGGACTAAAATAAGTAAATGTATCTTATTACTAAAAACCATACCTTTCTCCAGGAAACATTCTATAACAGAAGGATAACATAAAGCAATTTTACACATCATGAAACCATTGCTGTTCCTAAGAAAGCTTGTTTTAATATTCTACAAAAAAATCAAAGTTCTACCTCTTTGAAGAATGCCAATTATAGAAGGTATGAAATTTATTATTTTACCAGGTAAAACACAAATACACTGCCCAGCCAGTGGGAGGGAAAACAATTTAAGCTGAGGCCAACGGAGATAGGCTGAGCTATTCCTTAGTATTTGGGCATTTTTCCCCCTATGAAATGCAAGTGATTCAGAGACACGACTCACCTCTCCCAAAAGCAACATTGGCTTTATCCATTTCTGCATTAACCTAGAGTTAAAAGGGAATATTGTTTATTGTTTGGCTCTCCCCACTACAAGTTTCACAGGAGCACAGATCATATCTACCATTTGTACAGCTCTCTGCCTGATGGCTAATACATTTCTTGGCATATAGTAGGTAGGTGCTCAATATATTTGTTACAGGAATAAATGAGAGGATTTTCAATGGTATTTTCTATTAGGATTTAATAAAACAAAGTGATCTTTAGAGAAACAAATCTCCCAATCAACATGCTATACTTAATAACAGTGTTAAAATCACTAGAAGTCTCTGGAACATTGACTAACAATATACTAGTTCTCTACTTTCCTTATGTGTTATTCTAGGGCAAAATCCCTTTCTTCCAAATGTTTCCTGTCGTTGCAGTTTCCAAATGTATATAAACACATTGTTGTTTTTTGCTGAATTACAGTGTGGATTTAGTATGAATTCAGCCTACCCAAATAGTCTTAATTTATTAACATCATATAGTACAACTTCCTACACATTAATATACCCAGAGCCCAGCAAATAATTATGGGGTCCCTGTTAGTGAATTAAATCAATTCTGCATCATCCATATATGGATTAGCCATGTTGTGGACAGTGCAAGCACTTTTCAAATCTCCAGATTTCCCTATTACAAGAGCTGGTGATCTGAAACAAAATCTGAGCTGTTCCAAGTCCCAACAGCTTAATTCTGTGTGTCCATGGGCACACAGCATTAAGATTCTTCATCTGTTAAGTAGTGATACAAATAGTGATACTGATACCATCTTCCCATGGTAATTTTTGAGGCTGAGATACAATGATTCTTCAAACAGTCTCCACCAGTCATATGATGGCAGCTCTAATGGGGAGAGTTCGTCATTCATTCCAAAGTCTAATGTAAACTGCTTCTGAATTTTATAATTCTCTTCCTGATATGGCTGAGATTTGTAATTGATTGCCAGTAAGGCCAAGGTCATTAATTTAATTCTTAGTCCTTCACTTCGTAAACAAGGAAATCTCTTTCCAAATTGTCTATCAAGACCCAAGAACTGGTACAACACTGTTGATGGCTTATTCCAACCCATCAGTGTTTTGAGGAGGACCTCAAAACATGTTCTTCTGATAGTCAATTAGTAGCATCTCCTTATAAGAAAAGCAGCAAAAATACATGTTTGCTCAAGAAATTACAGGGCCAAAAATGGATTTACAGTGCTGTTAACATCTATTAACCACTGGGAAGAGCTGGACTAACATCTATTAACCACTGGGAAGAGTTCATTTATCAACACCAAGGGATTAATGGATATAGTTGATTCTGTTATAGAGCATCACTAAAACAGTTTTAGAACAGACATCTTCATAGAATAGGGATATTAATAATGCTATCCTTTTGGCCCACTAACATATGCATTTGAAACAAAGACTGTATTACAATGGCTGGGTGCAGTGGCTCTCCCCTATAATCCCAGCACATCAGGAGGCAGAGGCGGGAAGATCACTTGAACCCAGGAGTTCGAAACCAGCCTGGGCAATATAGTGAGTCCTCATCTCTTTAAAAAAGAAAAAAGAAAAAAAAAAGACTATTAGAACAGTCTATTAACAAATATTTTAAAATTTTCTTTATTTCAGAACTGCCTTTATGTACAGACATCATTAAAAAAATGCACATACAATGGAGATTTTCCAAGGATCAGGAGCTGGAAATAAAATTTACGGACATTATTAAGAACTGAAATTGTCCCAGAGAAGTTCTGAGAATCAGGCTTCCTTAAATGTCCTTGATAACCTCTTCAAGTTCTTCCTTTGTGAACATGTGGAAATTCTGGCCAGGCTGCACTGTGGCTAGCTGGAAAGAAAACAAAAGGGTTAATAAGCTGGGCTCAGTTACCCTGCAGATGGCCCTACCATGGTCAGGAGAAGCTGTGTTGGTGATGCAGCTATTCATTAGGAACTAAGGGATCTGCTGTCCCAAGGCCTTCCCAGGCAGCAGGTCCCTAAAATAGCTCTCTGGCTCCAAAATAAAAATGCTTATTGACCAAATTTTCTATTTTAAGGTTAACTCACCACATCATACTTAACCAAATGCCTGGCATCACTGTCACTTCTTGAAGTCACTTCAACAGGGATCACAAAAGCAGCGGCAAAGTACATGGAGTCAGTACTTTTTTCTGTTAAAGACTCCTTTAGAATTATATTTGAAGTATATTTAAATACTTAAAAGTTGAGCTTGTGTGTGTGACTTCAGGTTACTTGGCCACTCTGTGCCTCTATTTCTTCATCTGTACAATGAGGACAATAAGAATAGCTAATTCACAGAGTAGTTGTGAGGATTAAATGTTAATATATATTACGTGCTTAGACCATTGCCTACAACAAATAATCATTAACTACTGTCAGGTATTTTCCCTAAAATTGTTTATGTGGCAAAACTTATCAAAAAAGTTTGTTGTTGTTGTTTTTTGAGACAGAGTTTCACTCTTGTTGTCCAGGCTGGAGTGCAATGGCATGATCTAGGCTCACCGCAACCTCCACCTCCCAGGTTCTAGCGATTTTCCTGCCTCAGCCTCCCTGTAGCTGAGATTACAGACATGTACCA